GGGGGAAGGGGAGGAGGGGGAGGAGGAGGAGGAGGAGGAGGAGGGGAGGAGAAGAAGAAGCAGAAGAAGCAGGACGACGACAACAATGACATTCTAACAACAACAACAACAACAACAACAACAACAACAACAACAACAACAAAGAAGAAAGACTACACACCTCTTCACTGTTCTCACAGGGCACTCCAATGGGGCGTGACACATTCTTCCACTCCCCTCCCAAGTTGTAGGTGATCACTGTGTGAATGGATTTGTCGTAACTCATTTGGCTGGCCAGGTACACACCACGAATAGACTTGATCTGCACGGATCATAAAGTAGAAACGTTTGCTGACCAGACCATCAATGATTTATTTATAGAGGCACCAGCCATCCATGTCCAGGTGCTGTTTTAGCCTCAAGAAACGTTTGCTTGAGGAAAGAGAGAGACACTGACATGATAATGACGGAGAAGAAGAAGAAGTAGAAGCAGCAGTAGGAGGAGGAGGACGAGGAGGATGAGGGCTATATGGTTTAACTCTTTATCCCCATGGGGGGTAAACCCACTATGCCGGGGCCCTTTTTCGGTAACAAATCTAAAATGACAAAAACTCCAGCACTAAATGATTCATTACATCAAAACAAGTGAACCTATTTTCAAAGTTCTTCATCTAGTGAATTAACTCCTGATGAAAGAGACCTGTCTTCGACAAATGACAGGAAAGTAATTTGACGTTGACGTCATCGTAAAGGAATGTGCCAGAGCCACAATTCGGATCTCGAGCCACTGGTAGCAGCTTGCCTGAGATAAAAAGTTACGGGAAAGAGAAAAAACACATTGTTCTAGTAAACAGAATCATCATCATCAACGCCTTTCACCCCTGGCTAGGCATAGACCACATACAAGCTCCTTCCATTTATCTCTGTCCTGGGCCATCCTTCCTAGCTCATTCCAAGTGAGCTTCATCTCTCTCATGTCCCTTCTCACACATCTCCTTCATGTTTCCCGTGGCCTACCCCTGCCTCGTGCTCCCTGTGGGTTCCACTGCAGAGAATGTCTTTTGAGGTTTCCGCTGGGCTTTCTGAAGGCGTGTCCCATCCATCACCACTTTGTTAGTTCTATTTCAACTTGTACATCCATCCTGTTGTCCCGTCCTTTCCTACAGTTGTAGAATTTCTCTCTCTCTCTCTCTCTCTCTCTCTCTCTCTCTCTCTCTCTCTCTCTCT